TTCACTTTATCTGAAACCTATTGAAGTCTGCTGGAACTGTCATTGACTTTAGTGGGAGCTGGATCATGGCCTAAAATAACATAGAAATCAGCACAAAAATGCATCTGCAATGAAAATCAGTTGCTGACTGTACAAGTCAACAGATAAAATTACACTTTGAAAAAATCTAAATATAGCATTTGCTTAACTTTAACCTATTACTAAACTTTAATACAATGCCTCTGGAATTGGATTCATTTGCTTGTAAGTACTGGTAAGAACTTCCCCTAGCACACGACATTTTATGCTACACTTTAGCTCTCCTATTAGCAAGGAAGTAAAAAAAAAATATCTTAGTTTTATTTCAAGAAACTTGAGTTATCATTTTTCTAATACAAATTAACAAGATAGAACACTAAGGCAACCAAGCCACTGTTGCCACAGAAATTAGCCATTTTAATTTAATTTAGTTGGCATGGTGGTGTTGAATTGATGTTTGGACTTGATGATCTTAGAGGTCTTTTCCAACCTTAATGATTCTATGATATTCCTGAAGGCAAAAATACTGCAAGCATGAGCAATACTGTTTCTTTCCTCAAATCATATAAAAGAGTAGTATTTCTACCTTTTTAGACTTCAATCACATATCACTCTAGTTCATCAGCATAACCAAACACTCCAAAGTAGAATTTAAATCTCAATTCAATGTAATATCCAGTCCTGTGAAGTACTGGTTGTTAACACTGAAACACAGAAAAAAACAGTAAGTTTCTTGAAGCCATCAGCATTCTATTATTTCTTGTGCTTAGAAAATATGGAATGAAAGTAACACCTTCTGCAGGACTGTTAATTGTTACATCTTCATTTACACATTCCCTGAGTCACTTCAGCTTATGCATATGAGTTTATGAAATTACTGCATGAGCATGTAAGCAAGAAGTAAAAGCCTTTAGCTGAAAAAAGCATTTAAACATGCCAGGAGCACAGAAAATTCACAGCAGTCAAGTAAGTTTTAGGGCTGCTGTATGAGGTTTTATCACTGTTGTAAAAGGTAAAAAAGCTGGGGGGAAAGAAAAAAAAAAGGTAAGTCAGAGTGAAGAGTGAGTGCCTTGGGACCCAGAAACTACTGTTGGTAGATCCAAACCATGGAGAAGAGAGATGCCTGTAAGGGCTGCTGTGGGTGTCCTCTGTTCATTATGTCAAACTTAAGATAATTGTTTTCACGTGTGCTATAATATTGTCCTGAACTCTTTAAGGTGACCTATTTTTTCTTGGTTTGGTCTGCCATCTGACATTAAATTATGTTTGATTGCATTAGCAAAAAAAAAGAAACAGATGAATGCTCAGACTCAAGAAGTTGATCCTAGATCCTTCCACTTGAGATAACCAGGGAACACATTTATCTCATGCAGTGTATCTGCCACACATTATTTAAACAAAAAACGCTTTAGTGCAAGAAGGTAGGAGAATGAAAAAATGCACTGGTAATGTGCCTTGTGAGCCTCTGTTTTTGCAAAATCACTGTTACAGGTTAAGGCAAGGACTACTTAGTAACCAAGCCGTAATACACAATAACTACTTATTAACCAGAATGCACTTTGGGCCCATTCCTTGTCTAAAACCACTCAGTAGAAATTTTAACCAAGAGAAGCAGTCACATGAAACCAAAAAACAGCGCCAGCAGAACGAGCCTTTTTGCTTTCAGGGCCCATCATTTTGTTGAGCCCCGTCAGCAGGGGCCTCACACGGAAGAGTGTATTTAAAAATGTATTGAAATAAACCCGAAACAAACAAAAATCCTAAGGACCCTTCCTCAAGAGGATAACACTTTTGGAAAGTTTTTAATGGGGAAAAAAACATCAGCAGGTAGTGGTTTTTTTTTTTCCCCCTCACACAGCTCATCTGCTTGCTCTGATTGCTCCCGTTATCCTGCT